AGGCTGGATAGGATAGTCATTGGTCTTAGTAGCCAAGAGATTGTTGGTGACCTATATGTGAACATATCTGTGAATTATCTAGAACAGAAGCCACACCACAGAGACTTAATGCATATTTAAAATTAGGATGTGAAATTTACCCTTATGTTGTGAGCAATTCAAAAAGTAGAAAAGATGTGAGCAAGATGTCAATGGGAAGATAATTCCAAATAAGTTGTTTTTTTCCCTTTTTATTATTCTACTTTTTATTTTAATATAAATGTTATTTGAGCATATTTATAAAATAGGGTAACAAAAATAATGATGGAGAGATGGAAAACAGGAAAAGGGATATTTGATGAAACAAAATCCAAAAGAAGGAACCAAGAGCTCAAGTTGAACAACATTTTTTCTTAGAAATGAGGCTTACTCTCTCAGAGAAGTAGTGGAGCAGTTAGCATTTATTAAAGGATTTTCTGCCAAAAACTTGAGAAGTGTGTGAAACCAATAGACTAATTATTCAATTTTGAACCCTGTGAAGATAAGGGCAATCGGCACTGCTTTAAATAAACAAGTAATGAAAAGTTACCACTGATGAGTTGAACATGCTAAAAGGTAGTCTAGTATCCTGTAGAACAGAGAAAGGAAATGAGATAGCAATGCACACTGGAAAAGGAATGAAATTCACACTAAAGATCCTTACCTTCTTCCATACAGTCTTTATTTTTTCAAGAGTTTGTATTGAGTTTTCAAAGGAGTTTAAATGCCACTTCCCAACCAATGAGTTATAAATCTCGCTAAGACCTTAATGGTTGGTTTAACAATTGCTGTTGTAAGAGGCTGAGATAACATAGCCTCCCTTTACATCTCTTAGGGAAAGTTTTTGTGCTGGAAAACAAACATGCAGTGTGGGTGTGATAACCATATTTTTTGAGCCAAAGAAATATCAGGACATTTTCTGATATGGTCTGGCAAGCAGAAAAATATTTGACTAAGTTGTAACTCCAGAAAATATGGTTGCCAAGGAATGAAAGATTCTATTAATAGTCACTGCAAAATTGCGTTTCAAGGAAAAGGAGAATTCTGGACATCAGAATTTTCTTTGAGGGAGTCTGTGCATACTTATTTCTTTCTGCCCTTGCCTCCCTCCTGAAATATTTGGTAAATGCCAAGGCATGCAAGGCACTGAGGCAGACACCTAGATAGAAAGCTAAATAAGACAGAGTTCCACCATGGAAGATAGAGATTTGTGAGAGAACAGTCAGAAGAGAGTGTTGTGTGGGCAGTAATAGGAAAAAGCAGAGCTAGTGCAGAAGCTAAAGCTACGGACTGCCTAGGGTGAACATGTGGAGGAAGATTTGCAAAAGGAGGTGATAAGTGAATTTTCTTTTAAAGGAAAAGTAGAAGAGCTTTAAGGACACAGATTTAAAAGATATCTTTCCTGCTAGCTTTCTTTTCCAGACAAGTTACCAAGGCTGGATGGTATAAAACATCTCAATGGTGTAAAATTCAGTTATATATGACTAAGGTTCATTCTGGTCATTAGAGCCACACTTTACTAGCCTAGATTTTGGAATTCTTAAACTTTTCATAGAGTGTCTGTAAGATCTTGTTGTGATCTTTATTAAACTCAGAATTTGATTCAGTATTCTTAAGTTTTCATTGAGTATATTCCTCTTTATATGGATCCATTTGTTGTTTCATTTTTGAAAGCCATTTAAGTTGTTCAGGGACACTACTTCAGTTTCTAATTTAAAATAAATTTATTAACTGTGAATTGAGAATGCTTGAATTTTTTTTTCTTTTTTGGCTTTGAATAATTTCATAATTAAACAAAAAAGGTGCAAGTTAATTTTTTATATTTGACATCATATAACTTCTGAACTAGGTGAAGTTTAAACCTTTGTGAAAAAAAATTAGGTAGCTTCTGACCTTTCCAAAGTAGCCAATAGTTTATAATATATGCTTTTGTTAATTTAGGGAATAAACTCTCCAAGCCCAAATTATTATTTCTTATAAACTCTAGGGTGTTTATAGGAATAAGGAAAATTTCCTCAATTTGGTCATATAAAGAAATGCAAAATTACTCAAGAATTGGTAAATAGTGAACATCTATTAAAGGACTTTTTGCAAAAATTTTGAGGAGCGTGTGAAACCTACCAGACTAATTATAATTATAACACACTCTAATTATAAAACAATCTCTTCAGGCAGTCTGAAGAGATTGTTTTATAATTAGAGTATGGTATTTATGCTCATTATTATTGCAAAAGACCTACAATTTGAATACCGGACTCAAAATTACTGTTGCTATTTTAATGGTTTATGGTATGATTTGGATCAGATAAACACTGAATACTTAACTGAAACTAAACATTTTCTAGGTTTCTTTTATCCCCCTTTTGACCTGGTTATAAGCATTGTCTGTCACCACCTACTTAGAAACCCACGCTTCTCTCAGGAAATGAAAGCTGTCAACCAATATTTAAAATTCTATCGTTAGACTATTTCAGATTTTCAAGTAATAGCCAATTATTTGATAAGAAATCTCCATTCACAAAGTACCTAAAGTGGACTAAAATAATTTATGGGAAAATAGCATAATTTTACCCAACTGACCTATTTAATCATTTTGTGTGATTTTTAAAATCATTTTCTTAACAGATGAACAAACTACCTCAGAGTAGATATCGAACTAGCATGGAAACACAATCTGACTTTAAATAAGAACCAACCACATTTCCTGAAGGGAATCCTACTATCTGAGCCATTTCCTTGAAGGTGGCAGATATGTAAGAAACTATCACCTACACCCACTTTTTCCAAGGTGTGGGGAGCCTGAAGCCCTGGAAGGGCTTCTCTTATATTCCCTATTCTGAAACATTTTTATCCAAATAAAATCAGATTAAAGTTGGTCTTAGGACAACAGCAGTAAAATATAACAAAAAAAATCAGTTTGCATGGTTCTCTAGGATTGGGTAGGACAATCCAGATACTTATTTTGGTTGAAGTTTGAGGAGTAATGGTTTATTAGACTAATCATGCTTCAGTGCATATTAGTGGAGGCCTTATTACATAGGTCCTCTCTAGTTGTCTTTATGAACCACCCCTTGCAACTAGTTGCAGCTGAATACAACTCCCAAGGACATTCTGGTTTTCCAACTCCTAGAAAAGCCTACCAGTACATTTGTTATGGTGGCCTGTGTGTCTATAGGTAAGAGCTGTGAGCCTATCTGAAAAAAAAAAACAATGGAGTCCAAAAGAATCGAATGGAGAAGTGGAAACTAATCATATTAGCTCTAATAGAGTAGTAGAAACTAATCAATCCTGAAATAATCTGGATTTGAGTCAAATTTGACATCAAGGGTCAGTTTGATATAACCAATAAAGCATCAGATGTCAAATGCAATTTTTTAAATTTCTAGTCCAATGTTTTCAGTCACATCATTAGAACCTAAAGCAACCCAGTGGCTAAGGTATATAAATAACACTTTTCCCTAACAGTTATTTAATATTAAAAAATGCTCTCGGGAGGATTACAGGGTCCATGTATCCTGGCTTTGTCCTTGGGCTGGCTCCGAGTGTTTAAACGGATGTTGGGCCCTGCATGTATTTGGTAGAATCATAGTCCTTAGATTCTATTGCTGTAAGTCCTCCTTTAATTTGTTCTAGTCCCAAAAGTTGGCTTTATCCCATCCTCTTGTTTTCAATAGTACACCCACTTCTATAAGAGCTATAGGTACTAATAATAGGAAACTAAATTTCTCAAGACTCAAAGGAAGATTGGCTTATATTTCAGAGAATAGTCTAGATTTCCCTTTATATGAATTTCTAGCAGCTTGATACAACACATCTATGCAAAGTCATCCTATTTACAACCCACTTGCAAAACCATAATTCAAAACAGGGTGAAATATGCTAAATGCTGATAAATTTTGTGTTGATCTTAAACACAAATCATAAAAATATTCTGTCAAGATGATAGATTGATGTTTATTTATTTTTAGAGCATCACATTAAATCTGCCTGGCCAGTGTGGCTCAGTGGTTGAGCATTTTCCTATGAATCAGAAGGTCTCACTTTGATTCCCAGTCAGGACACATGCCTGGGTTACAAGTTCAAACCCCAGTGGGGGGCATGCAGGAGGCTGATGAATGGTTCTACCTCATCATTGATGTTTCTCTCTCTCTCCCTCTCCCTTCCTCTTTCTGAAATAAAAAAAAAAAACTGAACTAAACTAAACTCTAATAAAAAAAATAAGTTGGCTTTTAAAATTTGTCCTGTAAGAACAAACATATAAAAAACCTATTTTGATTTAATTAGTATGTTTTTCCCCAAAATTTGCTGAACAGCTTAGTTCCAAGATATAAGTACTTAAATATTAAAAAAGAAACTTTAAAAAATAAATGTGTGAAACTTTGAATATTGAGCTCTGAGTCGCAAATTGATCCCCAAAAAGAGAAGTCAGGCCTGACACTTTCAGCGAAACATTGAAGAGCTTGGATATTTTGTTTATCCTGTTACCTTTAATTCCATACTTAGAAAAATATGAAAACATATTTTAAATGAGATGCAATGCAGTACTCAAAAATTATTTTTCACCAGTTTTTTTTATTTTTAATGGGCCTATTCATTTACAGAGATATAAAGATGAAAATGTTTTTTGAAGCAACACATATATTTAACTAATGCATTGATAGTTTTTCAAAGTTATGACATAATCATATCCTTGAAGCTAATGTTGCTATGCGTTGCATCCCATTGCTGCAACCAGCAAAGGCTTTGCTATCTAGCTGTTATTTGTATGCATGCGATGCATTTCGATCGATTGTTTCATGTATAAAAACTCTTTGGATTTCTGTAGGATTTCCTAAATTTTGCATTTGACTTCAAAGATAACAGGGAAAAAATTCACAAGTGTTTTATTGTTTAACATTACTTTATAACAAGCAGAATTCTTGTAGGAGAAAAGCATGTTTTCTCAGAACTCCAAAGTAACATTGCTTGTGGTCTCTCTGCAGTTAGATCCTGAAGCTAGTGCTATTCTGAAGGAACTTCAAGTTAAACTCAGTGGGGTTCTAGATGAGCTCAGCATCACTTACGGGGAAAGGTAAGTGGCCTGAGTAGTTATTATATTAAACTACGTTTCAGTTCATAGAAGTTATGCCTTCAGTGCTGTTTTTCTCCCCTGACTGGCTAAATCCATTTAACTTGAAGACTTAATCTAAGCATCATCTCCTTTGGAAAGTTTCCATGACCCTGGAACCTTACTGTGCTATCTCCCTCTGTGATCCTCAGGACACTGTGCATCCTTCAGTGGGGTGGCGCTTACAACACTGCGCTAAGTTATGGCTTAACTGCTTGGTTCCCTCCCTTAACTGTATGCTTCTTAAGGGCAGAAGCCATATCTCATTCCTATTTGCAGCTCTAGTGTTTAGAGCTTACCAATTGGTTATTGAAAGAATGGAGGGAGGAAGGAAGAAAGAAAACCTTTATACACATAAGACCGAGTTGCATTCATGTCATACCTATCAATGTGCTTGTACTTTCAAATAACTGAACTGCATCCCCATAATTGAATTAAGTCCAGATTCTAGGTTTTAGGGCTTAGAAATCTAAATGAAACTACTCCGTGGGAAATTACTGACCCATTCACATTTTCCCCATTTTTTAAAAAATTAGCTCTACTTGTCCATGGCATTGTTCTAAAGAGGGAGAAGTTTATCCTATAGAAGATTCACTTGGTCCTCTAGAAAAAAAACACTATCGTCTCATCATCAAATGTTAAAACAGATAAGAAAGCAAACACATCTTTGAAGAGGTTCTTTAATTTCATATATAATTTGATTTAAAAGTTTTGATTATTTATTTTTAGAGAGAGAGGAAGAAAGAGAAAAAGAGAAAGAGGGAGAGAGGGAGAGAGAAATCAATTTGTTGTTCCATTTATTTATACATTCATTGATTGTCATAGACACCCTGACCAGAGATCAAGCCCACAACCTTGGCCTATCAGGACAATGCTCTCTAACCAACTGAGCTACCTGGCCAGGGCCAGAATTGGTTTAAATATTAGCTCAATAAATGTTGACTTACTATTATAAATTATGCGTTCAGTTATACAATGAAGCTTAAAAATTACTCTTATGGCATGGGCTCTTTGAACTCCACTCATTACTCATTGTGTTTTTGGGAAAGGTACATTTTAATGGGCATTTTATGGATTAGCTATGTCAGTTGAGATCAGAGACCAAAAAGTAAAGACACTTGAAAGCATCGTATTTTCACTCAAATACAGGAATGAGGCAAAGTAAAGAAAAATCCCTATTGGCCTCCTCTTCAGGGTTAGGGGTGTGTTCTTGTCTTTGCGGAGCCCATCCTCACAGTTCAGGTGCTAAGGGAGAAGCAGCCTCGCTGTATCCAGCGTGGGGCGGCCACTCTGCCTTCTGTCTGTGTTGCTAGCTGACCTGGGCGATCCTGCTGACTTGACCTCGATGTGTATAAGGCAGTTGAAGGTTTTGTTGACCTGCAGTTGGAGAGACTGACATTGTCCCAGACATTTGGAAACTAATTGGCTCTGACTTGGGGGTGACACCTAGCGATGGTGCCTTCAGTCAGCTACTTCAGGCTTTCCTCTTTATTCCAGTTGTGAATTAATATGTGATTAGCAGGAAGACTGTTACCTTCAGCTAGGAAGGCAAAAATAGAGATTATTTAGCAAGGCGAAGGGGAGAAAAAAAAGTGGTCAGGAATAGCTAGGGGTGTTTGGAACTTTTTCTGAAATAAGATGACTAAACAGAATGGAAACTAGAATATGAATAGAAAAAGTATATTTAAATTACTCTCTGTAATATATCCAAGTCATCTTTATGAGCAAGTACCTTTTACTTTGGACCGTTTTATTTTGTTTGAAAAAACCTGGAGCAAACTTCAGTTATAAAATAAGGAGTGGTGTCCTTAGGCGGGCACTTGAAGTACTCTCCTCATACGAAGCCAGCTATTTTAACCTAGATAGTGAAACTCCTGCTTCCCCAATATCTATCTCTTCCTAGTCTTTGCAAATAGGAAAAATCTAATACTTCGTTTACTTAGGGCTCGAATTATTGGAATAAATAACCTACATGTCATGCTTTCCTTATAAAAAGAGTAATTCTTATGTCCTTGTTGCTATGGTTTGATTTCACACACTACTAACCAGGTCTACATCACACACATGGGGTAGGTGGGAAGCCCACACTGATCAGTGAGATCATGCTGTGAAGTTAAACTGGACACTTTTATCTGAATCTTAGAGTCTAAATTAGTGGCCTAGAGCTTCAAAATTAAGTGCATAATTAATTGTCCAAACTGCATTTTATCTGTTGTTATTAAAACCCACAACAAAATAATTCTACTGTATGTACCTACTAGGATGATTTTGCAGGAAAGCCAAACCGCACATCTGAAGGCTGGGTTCCTGGGTTGCTGGGTTCCTGACATGGTCACAGAGCACCCACCTGGGAACTGAGACGCAGTAATACCACTTCAGTGCTATCATATACATGTTTTTAAAATTGCACAGCTTGTGCCACTTGGGTTTTTGCTTGCACATATATTTTTCAGTTTTATTTTTTTGGATTTTCTATATTTATTTGAATGAAATATTTGGTACCAGCAGCTGGCTGGATTAAGTAAACAAATAATTCAGGAACATTTTATAGGAATTCTTCTATAAAGTGAGTGTTTGGCTTTTTGGGTGCTCACAGAGTCTGTCATTTTTAACTGGTAATAACTCAAGCTGATTAGTAAAGACTTTTTTTCAACCAAATAAATAGATAGAAAAAGTATTTTTAGGTGAATTTACCAAAAATTGATAGAGTGAGATTTTTAGCTGAAATGCACGTGTTAGTTCACCCTGGACTAATGCCAAGATAGAAGGCCGTTATCTCTCATGCACTGATCCGCTTCCTCCATATTCCTGACCCCACACACAGAGCTCATTCCTGGTGGGGGTGCCATGTGGGTCTGGTGTAGAAATCTACTTGTGCATTTTAGGAATGTGAGACCATACCTTCTGCTCAGTCCATCCTCTAGTGACTTGAACATTGGTGCAGAAGAAAGTAGCTATCTCAAAAGTGATGATCACTACACTCAACAGGACCACTGTTGGCCCACGGGTAAATCAACAGATCAAAATGTCCAACATTACTTCCTTCCTTTTCCATTGCCCCAAATATCCTCCACCTCTACTCTCACTAAATAAGGATACCACCGTCTCCACCACCCGCTTTCTCACCTTCTTCACCCTCCCATCGACCCTCCCCAAAGGCAGGTCTAGCCAGGTAAAAGGCAGATGGTCATGCATTTGAATTCCTTTGGCCCTGAGCCTGAAAGAGGATGTTCCATTGAATTAGATAAATATGTCAAGAAATGAGCCACATCCATAGGGGCATGCTGATATCCAAGATTCAAGGAACCAGATACAAATGCCGAGTCCAGAGGAGCAAGAGTGTTGTCAAAGGTAAAGAAAGTCACAAAGAAGGCACAAAGCAAAGATGGAAAGAGCCCAACATGGCAGCAGAAGTAGAATCAAACCTTGACGATGCACTCAAAATTATGGACCAATATTTATAAACCTGCTATAACGGTTCCAGGAACAAGAAAAACACCCAAGTTGAGATCGTTTAAAATGTATCATAGATTTCCCCTATTAGTCAGCTTAATAAAAACAGTCCAGAGTTCAGATTACAGGTTATGTCTCCAGATGTATATTTGGGAATTACCAGTGTATTGATTTCATGAAAGCCATTGGGATTAGATATGATTGCCAAGAAAGTGATTTTTATGGAGTGATCCAAGGATTGAACCTAGAGGATTACAATGTAGGGTTGCCAGATAAAATATAGACTATGCCCAACCAAATTTGAGTTTCAGATAAACAATGGATAAGTTTTAGTATGAATATGGCCATACTTGTAGTAAAAAATATTCATTATCTGAAATTCACATTACTGGGCATCCTGTGTTTTATTTGTTAAGTTTGGCAATCCTACTCCAATGGCTAACAGTCAGGTAATAATTGAGAAGGAGCAGCCAGTGAGGTTAGAGGAAAGCCAAGAAGGAGTGGCATCCCAGAAGCCAAGTGAAGAATGTGAACTCAGACACCAAGTATCTTTCAAGAATAGTCATTTTCCCAAATTATTCTCAGACGAACACCTCAGCTATTACTATGAGAGATAAGGGCCAAAGGAACCCCCACTCAAATTCATTCAATATGAAGAGCTTTATATGTGTGAGTTCCAAGTATGCTTTCATTGCAACAACATTTTTTTCAGCTGAACAATTAAGTTTGAAAATTAATGAGCAAGGAATTCACACTACTTGAAACAGATCAAACTCCCATGGGTTTAATTTAAAAACATGAGCAAAGAAAGGCATAAATGCTTTTATTCAGGTATTTATATTCCTTATTTTTAGTTTCCAGGTTATCATTAAGGAGTGTATAAAACAGATGGGATTTGAACTAAATCAAATGAGAACAAATGGAAATACTGCATCTAATAAGAACAGTGCGGCAATGGATGCAGAGATTGTATTAAGACCTCTCATGGACTTCTTAGACAAAACGTAAGTTTTCTCTTTATTAATTGCCCTAAATTTGACTGATATGGTTTGAAGGGGAACAATTGTTTTCCTCTGTGTAGGACAGTTTTAAAAAGGCTTCGACAATATTAATTCATCAAAAAGCAAAGCACTTTTAGTCCATTACTAGTGGCCAAAAAGCAGGAGTGATTTTGAACAGGAAGGGAATCATGGAAAGGACCTAAGTATTGGTAACTGAGGAGGTTGCTATTCTGAGGGGGAAGAGCTTGAGGATATTATGCTCCTCAGAAAGCGTATCATTTTGCAACCTGTTGAACATTAAAAAAAAAAAAAAAGACTGAGTTAAGTCCAGAATATCTGATTTTGTGTCAGAAACCTACTGAGGAAGAGAATAGCACAAATGTGACTAGAATTAATTCAGCTCAGAGGCAAGTAAATAACAGCCCAACTCAACCTCCAGCAACTATTTATTGAGTTCCCATCTATACCAAGCCTTAGTCTAGGCATTAGATAGTGAAAAAGAGAAGCAGAGTCCCTGACTACATGGAAAGTACAGGTTACTTGGTGGGAGTGGGTGAGAATGGAGGCCTTTATGACCAACTAAGACAGTGTTCTTAACCAAAAAGTTGTGCTTGCGTGTGTGTGTGTGTGTGTGTGTGTGTGTGTGTGTGTGTGTTGTCTTGTTTTGTTTTGTTTTGAAGTTTCTGCTCAGTCCCTACTCTTAGAAGTTCTAATTTCATAAGTTTGGAGTCAAGGCTCCTATGTTTTTGTGTTGTTGTTTTTTTTAAAAATTTATTTTATTGATTTTTTACAGAGAGGAAAGGAGAGGGATAGAGAGTTAGAAACATCGATGAGAGAGAAACATCGATCAGCTATCTCCTGCACACTCCTTACTGGAGATGTGCCCACAACCAAAGTACATGCCCTTGACCGGTATCGAACCTGGGACCCTTGAGTCTGCAGGCTGATGCTCTATCCACTGAGTCAAACAGGTTAGGGCAAGGCTCCTATGTTTTAACATGTGTCCGAAATTGGGAACTGTTGATCTAAAGCCACCAGAGATGTGACTTCTTAAACAGTGATACTTGAAACCAGAGTTGACAGTAGAAGAGAAAGGCAAAACATAATTTTGAATGCCTACCAAGGGACCAGTGTCATACCTGGCAGTTACATATGTTACTTCATTTAATATTGTTGTGGCAAATTAATTAATGCCAAAGGGACCAAGACAAATGAGAAGGATGCAATACTTCTCTTTAAAGATAAAAGCAAAGAAAAACCTAGGGAAAACCTCTTCTATATATTTATAACTTCTATTTTAATTCCACTTCCCTTTGCTTATAATCTTACACATGAGTAAAACTAACGTTCCCATCACTTTGATTTCAGTATTTGGTAGGTATGTTAAGTCTTCTTTTCTGTCCTCTATGAGGAAATGTCTAGAAGACAGATGAGTAGGTAATTAGCTTAGCAGGAGGTAGACAGGCAAGTGGGGGTGGAAGAAAGAAGTAGCAGAAAGAAGAAAGGAAAGAAGGAAATAAAGGTAGGAAGAAAAGAGAGAGAGAGAGGCAGGGAGAAAGACTTCTCATTTCTTTTGTTTCCTAATGTAGACTTTTACTCTTATCACCTAATACCTTATACAACCCCTAAATGTTTATTTTATTGTGTGGATCTCTACTAGGGGCAACACAGGATTGAACCACATGAACACACTACCATTTGGGTGCCCATGTGAAGGTGAATCAAAAGCAGGACAAAGCAATTCTGATCCTCTGAAAACTCCTACTGGAATGCCTTATGTTTTTAGATTTCTAACAGCAGTGTGTAGATATGTTATTTATCATTAGCAAAACTTTGTATTTTGGGAGATACTGTAACCAAAAGTTGTGGGACATACAGAAAGTTTTAAGTTATCCTGATATTGTCAGCTACTAGCTGAGGGACCTTCAATCCATTTTACCGTCTATAAAATGGGGCTAATACATGAAGTAAGTAAACCCTTCTTTTTAGTATATTTTAGAGTCCTATTTTACTCAGTTTTAATTTTCTATTTTGGATTATACTTTATTATATCATACATATAATTGTAAGTATTAGTAAAGACGGTGTATAAAGATAGAAAAACACCTATGAGCTTCAAAAATTTGTGACAGAGATTTGAAATTTTTTGGCAAGAATTATTATATGAGTCATAAAGAGTTGAAAGAATTCTAGGGGTAATTCAGAGTGCATAACCCTAAAGCCACTTATTAGGGGAGATTTTTTAAAAATCATATTAATCTATTCTCAAGATTAGGGGGGGAAAATAAGGAAGGTATACAAGTAAACACAATAAGGTCTAAAGAAATAATCTCCTGGTCAGACAATCAGTATAAATTTGATTTGGGTTGTTGTTGTTTTGTAATGATTTTTATATAGAGAGAGGAAAACAGAGCGGGGCAGAGAGAGCTGCCTTCAAACTGGCAATCCGGTAGTGCCCTGGGCAATGCCCAACCAACTGAGCTACACCAACCAAGGCTGATTTGGTTTGGGTTTTTAAAGATGGATTGGGTTTGAATATATGGAAATGAGGGGTGAACACTTCCAGCGGGTGAGAGAAAAGTTGAATATGTTATCATGAAAATCTTATCAACTATATGACAGGATATCTCCATGGCCAACTAATATACAGGGCACTTGACAATTTTCTGGTTGATTGGTTCTGTGATCAGAGAATCTAGACAGCTCTGGTTCCAAATATATGCTTTAAGGCTTACATCATCAAGTTGATTATCTCTGACTAAATTAAGGAAGCAGTTGCTAGATGCCCCAACTTGGGGTGTGTTGTTGTTCTTCCTGTTATTTAAAATTAGCAATAGTGAGCTGAAAGTCTTCCAGGTAGCTTTGAGAAAGTCTCCTTAGAAATTGCATAGGCTCTCTTTGTCTTTGTGCAGCTTCTCTAAATAAGACATCTTATTTGTTTATGTTTCATTTTTTCTACCACAACCTCACCACTCTCTAAAACGCGCTGTAAACTGCCAGCTGGCAGAAATCTCACGCAGAGCTGCAAACATGTCAATGATTCTATTCCCATTCATTCAGTTCCAGTCTAAGCAGAGGTCATTAGCACGCCAAGTACATGAGCTGCCCGTAAAAACAAGATCAATTCTTAAACTCGGATCTTTTAAAAATGGAAACTACACATCTGCTGACAACGTGGCAGATTTTTTGCATCTTACATTATCCTAGGGATTCCTCTGAGGCTAGAGACATCCAGGTGTTCTGCTGTGAGACATCTGCTGGCTTCTGCCCTATGTCCAGGCGTTACCCTTGAACAACTGGTGCTAAATGACGGGGGCTACGGTGTTTCATGAATATGCCTCAGGGTTCCCAACTCTCCTCTTCATCCAGAGGAGGTGTTTTCATGCATTTGTTGTTGTTGTTAATCCATCTGAGGATCTTTTTTCCATTGATTTTTAGAGATGGTGGAAGGAAGGGAGAGACACAGAGAAAGATACATCGCTTTGAGAGAGACACATCGATTGGCTGCCTCCTGCACGCACCCTAACAAGGGCCAGGTATTGAGCCTGCAACCGAGGTACATGCCCTTGACTGGACTTGAACCCAAGATCCGTCAGTCCATGGGCTGATGCTGTAACCACTGAGAGAAACCAACTCGGGCTCATGCATTTTTATATATTCAGTATTCACATTCTATAGTGTTAGGAGAAATACTTCTATGTGAAAATGCATTTTGGAAATCTCTCCCTTTGCCTCTCAGATGTCACATGCCTTTAAATATTAATTATTACTTTGATTATTTAGATGTTAATTATCTATTTAAATATTTAAAGCAGTCAATTCTACCTCTCTCAGAACCAGAACCCGGGTTATAATTCCTGAGTCCAAAAGTATACAGAGTATTTAGCACACTGTCATCAGTGAAGTTTTCGTGACATGTATGAACCACCTTTGGCACACTGTGAAATACGTTTAATTAGCTGTTCTTAAACAGAGTTCTTTGTCATCTTTTGGAACATTCAGTAAATATTTATGA